GCTTACAACCATCTATAAACAGATCTGATGCCCTCTTCTGGCCTATGAATATATATGCAGCAGAGCACTCATACATTAAATAAATAAAATAATATAAATGTTTCATATATATATAAACATATATATATGAATGAAAAGGTTTTTAAAAGAAAAAATATATAGTCTTCTTAAAAAGAGGGGTGGGCTCTAATACACCAATATGGGAGGGTGAATGGACAGATCATTTAGACAGAAAGTTTGTAAAGCAAAAATGTCTGAACTGACATTGGACCCAACAGACATTTACAGAACACTCCACCCAGAGGTAGAACAAAAGACATTGCCCAGTTTTTTTTAACTGGAGTGTATTCACTGTGCTTGGTGTTTGGTTTTACATGAACAACCTTTCTCAGGCATGTGATGACATATCCACCCTTACCATTTCCTCTCTTTAGTCCTCTTTATTCTCCACCTGCTTGTGTATGGTTACCCTCTTGCTTTCCTGTCATATGAATATACCCATATGAATATACATACATATGAATATATACATATGACTATATATAAATTAATTTATGCAATATAAAAACTTCTAGGATCCAAAGGAGAGAAAATATGATACCTTTTATTTCTGCCTCTCATTTACATTAGTTAATGTGATGACCTCCTATTCTATCCATTTTCCAGGAAATGACATTGTTGAGTTCTTTATCCATCAATAGAATTCCATTGTTTGGGGGGAGGGGCATTTCATTTTCATTATTTCTTCACCTGTTGGTGAACACCTAGTCAGATTCCATAATTTAATTGTGAATATGGCTGCTTATCAAAAAGGATATGTAGGTATCTCTGCAATACGTTGGCATAGAATCCTTTGGGTATACAGCCAGGAGTACAAAAGGCGGGTCACATGGTTGTTCTATGTTTAGGTGTTAGAGATACTACTATACTGAATTCCACAGTGGCTAACATAATTTACATTAGTGTCAACAGTGTCTAAAAGTTCACCCTCTCCTCACATCCTGGATAGAATTTGCTGCTGGGTTGTTATTGTTGTTGTTTTATAACTAGGAGGCAGGGAATTTTCATGTAGTTAATTTGCATTTCCCTTACTACTAAACTTGTTGAACATTCTTCATTTTTTTAATTCTTTGTGAATTGTGTACAATGTATTTTCAGCATATACACCTCCCCTCTCCCAAGTCCTCACTACTCACCCAACATTTTGTCTGCAGTTTTTAAAAACTCATCAAATACAATCTGTGCTACCTGTCTACACTTGAGTTTATGGCCATTCACTGGTATGTGGTCAACCTGCCAGGGACCACTCCCTTAAAGAAAACTGACTCTCCCTCTCTCATAGCTCTTCAGCTAGGGGTGGGATTCTTGTGCCCACAACCCCTCTCCATGCTAGTTTCTCTAGGTTGAACTTGCCCGGGTCTCCTGTATACCAATCACGACAGCTGGGTTCACATGTGCGGCTGCTGTTGTGTCTAGACAAGTATTTCTTTCTAGTCACCCACTGCTTCTAGTAATTAAAATATTTCTGCGCTCTCTCCCACAATGGTCCTCACGTGTTTATAGTCATCTTTTGTGATTAGATAGTTCCTGACCACTCAAGTACTTTACCACTATTTGCATAAACCTGTTCTCTCTCTATTCTATCAATATCTCAAAATATCTTTTGAAAACTGTCAATTCATTTCAACAGTATGTTGATTGGTTGGTTGGTTGGTTGGTTGGTTGGTTGGTTGGTTAGTTGGTTGGTTGACTGGTTGACTGGGGTTTTTGGTATTATTTGTTTGAATTCTTTACATATTCTAGATATTAATGCTCTGTCAGTTATACAGTTTGCAAAGATTTTCTCTTATGCTGTAGGCTATCTTTTCACTGCAGTGATTGTTGCCTTTGCTTTTCCAAAGCTTTCTTAATTTCAGGTAATTCAATCTGTCAATTCTTGACTTTATTTCTTGAGCTATTGCAGTTCCTTTTAGAAAGTTTCCTATACTCCTATTTCTTATCGTCTCTTCGCTATAATGTATTGGAACAGTTTTAAATTTTCAGTTCTAAACATAGTTGATCTATTCTGATTTGATTTTTGCACATTTTTGGAGAGAGGAACTGCACATGGCTAAACATCTTTTCCAGTATTATTCACCAAAAGGGCTAACTTTTCACCCGTGGGTGGTTTTGGTATCTTTGTCAAAGAAAAAACCAAGAGTGTCTGGGTTTAATCCTGTGCCTTTTGTTGTATCCCATACAAGTGTGTGCTGTTTTGTGACAGTACCATGCTGACTTTGCTACTGTCATCTCTAGGAGGAATCAGAATTAGGGACTCAAGTGTCCCCACCATTACTCTTCTTGCTTGGGATTAGTTTAAATATTTGTATTTCTTCATGGATCCATATAGATTTTAATTTTTTTCTAGTCCTAGGGAGAATGTTACTGGAGGTTTTCTTTAAGGGATCACCCTGTATCTATGACTCAGTTCTGGTAGCAAAGCTATTTCCACTACACTGCTTTTGCCCATCCATAAGCATGGAAAGGTTTTCCATTTTCTAGTGTTCCTTCATTTTTTTTTCTTCAGTGTCTTGGCATTTTCATTGTAAATGGTTTCCACACCTTTGATAAGGATTATTCCTAGGTATTTAAAAAATATTTTGAAGCTATAGATAAAGCTTATTTTCCTAAGTTTTTCCTCAGAAAAAGGAAAAAGGAAAAAGTGTGTGTTCATTATCAGTGAGTTAGAAACCTACTTACTTTGTGTTCTGCTGCTTTGCTGAAGGGGCTCATTGGTTCTACGAATTTTCTCATGGACTCTCTTGAGTCTTTTAAGCATAAAATTAAAACACCTACAAATAGGGATGATTTTATTTCTTACATTTCTATTTGTATGTGCAAATTGTTTCTCCAGTAAGTGAATGAAATCTGGGATGTATAAGAAAGTCAACTGAGCAGCAAAAGTATCCAATTTAAAGAATTAGGGTTCATTAAAATTGTCAAAGAATATAGATACTTCTCAAAAGATGTCAAGACGTCTGAATAGCCAATGGGGACATGAAAGCAAAAATGCAATGTTAATAATGGCTAGGGAATATAAAAACAAGCCACAATCCAACTCCACTTCAATGGCTATCATAAAAGACAAAAATAACAAATACTAGCAAGTATTGGAGAAAAGAAAAGTCCCCTAAAGACTGGCAGTGGGATTGTAATAAAGTCATTATGAAAAACATTGTGGAGATTCAAAAAATTAAAAAAAAAACTGTAAGTACAAATGCCATAAAAATCTGTATGTCTGTACACACTACACACACACACACACACACACACTATATATATATATATCCAAAGAAGATTAAATTTTTTAACAACAAGAAATCCCTGGCTATTAGTAATAAATGCTCCACGTCTATTACAGCACTATGAAATAGCCAAACTATGGGATCAACATATGTGTCCTTCAATGAATCAACTAAAAATGGTATCTTTGTATATTCTGCCATAAAACCAATGGTGTCCATTGACAAAGATACGGCTGGGAATAGAGATCATCGTGTGACACGGAAAGACAAATGTCACATGTTCTTGCTGTTTTGTGGAAACCAGAGTGGGACAGTGGTCACTAGAGAGTCAGGGTGGGGGAACAGGAAACAGAACAGGAAGTTTAATACAAGGGCACAAAGCCCAGACTGGAGGGATTACCTTTGACATAGGATGGCAACTACTGGTTACCTCTATACTGGAAGCCAGCTATGATGAATTTCAAAATGAGTAAACTATATAATTCCCAACACATAGAATAATAATTGAAGAAATGGAAATAGATATTGCCATGATTTAATTAATATATATTATACACAGCTACTTAATTACAATAATGTAATCCCAAACTATCTAAATTTTTAAAAGAACTGCTTTATAAAAATTATTTAAAAGTGGTGAGAGGGAGGTGATTTTTGCATCAGTGAGGCTCCGCAGAGGCACTAACGTCCTCTGAAATGAAAGTGTGGTTCCTAACCTACAGACCAAGCAAGACTAGCACACATGCACACACACACACATACACACTCATATACACACACATACACAGTCATAGGATAACCCTGTGAACAAGTAGAAACTCTTCTGATTTCTCCAGATAGAATAAACCAGTAAAATAAATACATTCTTAAAAGTAGCAATAAGTCAAAAATTTAATGAATCGAAACCAGTTCTATTAACATGTAACATTCAATTAACATGTAATGTTCAATTAACATTTAACATGACTACTTATTTTAGAACATACAAAAGATTATGAAACCATGTTTATTTCTTCTTTGGTACAACCAGACAAGTTACCTCAAATTTTTAAAATAAATAATGTCAGCCATAAAACATATGCATGGCAGAATATCGCTTCTTTGTTTTCACGTGGATCTTAGAATACAAATGGGTTTGGGTGCAGTACATGCTATTCACAAATTCAGAGTAAAGATGAAAACCACCCTGCAATGGATAGAGACCACTTCTGGGACATGGCCCTGATGAAGATTTTAAGCACCAGTTTTATTGAATGTAGTGGGTTTTGTTCCTTAGTATCCTAGCAGTATTCGATATAACTGAATTAATAATCTGAGATCAATATCTTAATTGAAATGAAAATAATGACAGCAACTGAGGTAAAGTGAACAGTTTGTTGTTGTTGTTTTTGTTGTTGTTGTTGGCACAGTGGCCCACAACACATATTCATATATAGCACACTAAAGTTCAAAATCCTGGGAAGAGGATTTATATAAATTTGGCTAAAGAGAAATTGAATTTGACTTTTGTCTGATGACTCCCCTGTCTTTCTTCCCTGGACAAGGAACAAGACTTACTGAATAGCACCAGTTGCTCTAAATCTGATTGTCAAGTAGCACTTGTGGAATGATGTCGGAAGTGAAACCTTTTAGTCTTTGCCCAGTGTTGGATGTCGCTTCTCCCCCATGCTCCTTTACCAGGCATGGTTTGTGTAGGAGTTTATAACGCTAAGGTTTTCACTTGTCAGGCCCTTTGCTAAATGCTCTTTGACCAGACTGCAGGGTACAAGAGGCTGGCTCACAGAAACCAGGAGGGCCTGGGGGTCCTGGGGGTCCAGGCACACCAGGAATTCCTGCCACTCCTGGGGGACCTTGCTCTCCATCTCGGCCATTTTTCCCATAGCTGGCAGGGCCTGGATCACCTGAAACAGACAAAAAGCCCACACATGTGAACAAACGCTGCTAATAGAGTAGCAGAAGACACTAGACCCGCACAGCCTAGCAGTGTGCAAGCAAGACGCTTAGCAAATGCCTTTGGAGGTGGCCCATGATGATGAGATGAGGAAACCCCATTAGTGGGTGTGGCTTTCATAGAAATCAAAGGCAGAAAGTGTGTTCAGTGTGTGTCTTTCACATTTGCAGCACGGCGCCCTCTACCCATCTATGCCTACTGAATACTGAAATGTGGCTGGCCCAAACTGAGGCGAACTGTAAGTGTAAAATTAAGCTGGAATTGGAAGGTTTCGCAAGGAAAATGTATAAGAAGTTTTATTAATGAACTTTAGACTTATTACTTGATGTGATAGTATTTTGAACCTTGTGAGTCACATAAACTGCACAGACATCCCTCAGTTTACAGTGTGGTTATGTTGAAAACATAGTTAAGTAAAAAATGCATCCAACCTGCCAAACATCAGGACTTAATGACCCAGCACACCACAGAGTAACCAAGTCTTTCTACTTGTGAGTGGATGGCCAACTCTGTGCTTCCTGGCATTAGGGGAGAGCATCAGATCTTGTATTGTTAATTTCATAAAAAGATCAAAATTCAGAATTTCTAAGTTAAGTTTCTACCAAATATGTTTGATTTCCATGTCATCATAAAGTGGAAAAACCTGAGGTTAACTATATTAAGTCTGTGACTAGCTGTATTATTAACGTTAATTTCACCTGACTCTGTGCCTTGCCTACTGAAGATTCAATGTCACGGGTGCTGTGCTGGTTTTATGGCTTACATCGTCTTTCTCCTGACAAGAGAAGCTAACAGCCTCCCTAGTTCCTCACAGTGATCCACATACAAAAAAAAAAAAAAAAATCATGGCTAAGAAGTTAAAAACACGGGTTTTCAAGACAAACAGTTTTAAGTTCTAATTCAACCATTTGTGAACCATTAGAATCAGTGAAAAAGAAAGAAAGACTCTAAGAAAGCTCATCCATCATCGACAAAATGGAATGTTGGTGTTTGTTACCATTAAGTTCTGTCCGTTAAATGGGGACTGTCTCAATTATTGGATATTATTTATTAGTGTCTCTTCAAAGATCACACCATGCTCCCTACAAAACCCCAACATGAGTTTCACCACAGACACCTTGCAGATGTGTCTGTTCTGTCACGTGTGCTCAGTAGGGCACACATTCTGAGGTGGAGCACGGCAGTGAGGAGTTCTGTTGCATGTGTCCCTTTGCATCAACAGTGTTCCATCCTATTACTAAGAAAACAGTGTAAAAGCACCCGCCTTCACTTGTCCAGTCTCATTACAGGGATCCTTATTCAGTCTCTGCTTTCTTTGTCGCTCGAGAAGCCAAAAGCCAAATCTTCATATCCAATTACATACTGTCGTAGGTGGTGGTACACCTGGTTTTTTTCTAAGGTTTTCAGTCTTTTTCCTATATTAGTGATCTAATTACATACATCTCATTGTAATGACCGGGACATATTAAGTGGTATTATTATTACACATCTCGCATATTTTGAAATTAAGGTAGGTGGCGGAACCAATTTTACAGACATCTCGTTCTTCCGTGTGTCCTTACCTCACACCCTCCACAAAAGCAGTGTTAGAGGGCAAACCATTAGCAAGGTTTAAGGGAGAATGATTATCTTTGAATTTATGCATCTCAAGGCTGAAGTTAAGTAGAAATGTGTTATTTCCAATAAATTATCCCATAGGCTCTTATCCAACTGTCAGTTGAGATGAAGTAGGTGGTTATCCATTTCCTCTCATGGGAGAAAGGCTTTCCTTCATCCACAGCACCTATAGGTAAGGCTGTCAGAACCACTCCTGGAGCAGAGACTTGTATATCCCCTCACACTAGAGACAGTTAAAGGTTAAGGTGATATTTTTTTTCTTTGTTAGTTTTAAAATATAGGCCGCATCTAATTACATAGGAAAGGTGGTTCTCATGCACTTTGTCAGTAAGAATGTTCCACTGAGATATGTCAAATCTGTCTTAAAATGAAACCAAGACCAGGAAAAAATGACCATGCTCACAAAAGACGTCAAAGTCCAAAGACCAGGGGGCTAAGCAGATAGCACAGATTAGGCCAACCTCAGCCCACAAGCCAAATTGTATTTATACAAAAATAGCTGTATTAGACTATGGCCGTGCTAATTTGTTTACATACCATCCGTAGCTGTTTCAGGAAGGGAAGGCAGAAGACCAGGGTCTGAAGAGACCTTACTATGCCTTGTCCAGCCTGTGGGTCTCTTGACTACACCTACTACCTAGCAACTACACAACTTTCTGAAATATCAATGACCGTGCTGCCAGAAAGTTTTCATGATTTTAAGAAGAATCAATTTCAAAGAATGTATATACCATTCTCTGTGTAGACACTAGAGGGCAGGCATGTTACACTGATGTAGTCAGAGCCTTTCCTTTAACACTTAACAGAAGAAAACAATGCATACACATGTATGAAGGAAAAAGACATTCAAATAATTGTCTGCGTTAAATAGGTGATCTGATGATGATGCATACAATGGCTATTTAATCTTTAGGGATGTGCCCCAAAGATTTTATATATATATATATATATATATATATTGTGTTGCTTAGTCATATTCCTCAGCCTCTAA